TAGAGCGTCATTGTGCAAAGTTGGAATAAATGAAAATGCCTGTGGAGCTATTTTAGAGCTAAGGAAATGGCATCGAGTTTCTGAGAACCACAGAGCAAGAGCACAGCTGCCTTAGCCATGCCTGCTGCCCTGCGCTCTCCAGCCCCTACATGCACACCCCAGGATGCAGATCCTATACCATGAACCTCATATAACCACTTACAACTGTTCTCAGGGGATAAAATCTGCAACCGCATCAGAACGTAGGGCTTACGGCCATTCTGCGCGGGGATGAATGGTCACGCAGGGTGCAGGGGAGAGGAAAACCAACCCAATAGGGCTTTGGACTGCAGATGAGTGGATATCATCATGCACAGGGCAAAATCCTCTCGATATCGCTGCGTGGAGACAGTGGAGAACTAGTACACCGGCACTGTCCGGGCAGCTTGTTCCCCCTTCCTCCATGCAGCCTTACGTGTGTATGAGAGGGCTGAAAACTTGGCCATTACACACGTGCGTGCGTGCGCGCGCACACACACACACACACACACACACACACACACACACACACACACTACTATTTGCTATTTATTTACTACTTACGGAAAGAGCACTTTCCATTGAAACAAGCCTGCAATCTAAACAATCCACGATGTCGGGAAATATATCTGCCGATCTGGGCTGTTTTCCCAGCCAAAAACCCAACTCTCCGTTCTCACCGGGGATTTGTTTCTGTAATTACAAAGGCGCTGGTGACAACTTGGGAAACGGTGTCTTGCACACCTTTCCCCCCCGCTGCTGTTGGTGAAAATGATTCTGTAACATAATTAAACGCTTGTCACATGTGACGAAGTAGACACAAATAACATTACCCCCCTGGAAAAAAAGGCATTATTGGTGATGATCACTAATGACACTGCTGAAGTTACGTGAGCAGAACGTGAGCACGTACGTACCCCACGTGTGAATTAACATCCTGGGTGTGTCCCAGCAAGCAGAACGGCCTCCGAAGAGCCCTGCACATGTAAATCACTAATCTTTACACGCATACACACCCCGGCTTTCTCTCTCACCAGAGCAATGCAGCGGCTTTCCTTGCTAAAGGTTGCCTTTTTAGCTAGCCTTTATTCTGAGAAAGAAAGACAAAGGCATCAAAGGCTTGCAGCTCTTTATGCCAATAAAACCCTGAGGACTGGGTCCCACTGAATTAAGAAAATGTCTTCAACACATAAGAGTTATAGAAGTTTCCCTTAAAGATCAAAAAAAAAAAAGGGAGACAACCATCTGAACTTCCTGCCAGAAAACAAGGAATTAAAAAAGGAAGACAGCAGATGATTCAGAGTCGAGCCCAAAGCACTGCGACAGCATACTGACTACTAAATATGTATATATTACAGATATGCTTCCTTTATGATTAATTAGCAAGTACTGTTGGATATAAATATTTAGGATAACTTTGAACAGTGTGTGTATGTGTGAATATATATATTATAGTTATACACGCTATATGAATACACACAGATACATGTATGCGCACACTTTTCTACTGCTAGGAGCAACGCAGCCTCAGATAAAACCCGAGCGAAATCTCCAACGCGGCAAACGTTTCCTATTTAAAAAGGTTCTTTAAAACACTCATTTACGGACATCATTTTTTAAATCATTTGTGGACCCACCTATCAACGCTGCTTGACCCTAGGACTTACCGTTTGTACGTTTTACTGCCTCTGCATTATAGACAGTCTCCAAAATTGCAGAAAGGAAGTTCATAGGTGTGTGAGAGGGAGAGAGGAGGATGAAACCACGAAGCACGTGGTACGCGGGAGAACGTGGACACGCACAGACGCTGTGGTGATGCTCCGGTAACGCAGGACATGTACATTCACGGGGCGAGATAGTGATGCTACGCACCCCAAGCTAGCAGACATTTCCTTTTAAAATAAAGGGGTTTGGCAGTTGCACAAGAAAGGCATCCCTTAATCTGGTTAAAGAGGATTTAATGCAGGGATCTGGCATGGGAGGCTCAACTCAGCTCAGCTCCATCCTCTCTGGTTGAAAGCTCCTTCCCTCTGAGCCCAAAGTGGTGGCACCATCTGACACCGGGCTTCATTCAAGACCTCCCAGCTCCGCTCCCGGGGTTCGCCTGCGCTGCTGCCCTGCCCTCTCCAGGGAACCAGGGGGAGGTCTGGTAGACAGCCTCCTCTTCAATACAAATCACCCATCCCCAGAGGAAGACTGGACATGAGCCTGCCCATACCTTTCCAAATGATTGAAAGCTATTGTCAGCAGGGACCTTGGAAGGACGGTCGTGTGGCTAAAGCGCAACCCCGAGCTGCAGGACCCCTGAACGCTGCTCTTAGCGCTACCTCGGCTCACTGCAGCTCGCCCGCCCTCCGTTCCTTTGCAAACTGGGATGATGACCCTGCTGCTTTCCTTCCCGGGGAATAAATGCTGTTAGGCTTAATTCATTGTTTGTAAAGGACTCGGAGATTGTTGGATAGAAGCGGTTGTAAGAATGCCAACTATTCGGAGTTACAGTGACATATGGTATAAATGTTTTCTAGGCTTTCTTTACTGTTGTTAGGCTCTTCCCCAGGCTAAAGAGTCTCCGAAAGACCCACAGCCAACTTGTTTTTCTGGTTTGCAAGGCCAGCTCGTTTGGGAGCCTTGCATCTCCGCAAGGTCAGTAATAACATGTCATATTCCTAATTACCTCTATGAAATGGGTCCCTGTCCCCAGCCCAGTTTCTCATGGACGTGGGCAAGTCCCATCATAAGTAGCATCGTAAGCAAAACCACGGGCCCACTTCAGCAGAGGTACAAAGGACAACGGAGGCTGAGCTACTGGTGGCTTCTCTCCAAAGATTAACTGTCACTGAGGGCGGGCGAGTCTCCCGAGTCACGTAGGCATCACAGTAAATGCCACCCGCTTCCTTCCACGCAAAGTGCAAGGGCACTGGTCCACGACTATTCGGTGGGCTCTTGCTCTGTTTGTGCTGCCTCTGGGGATTCCCGTCGATACGGCTCCTTTCACTAGCACTGCGTCTATTTTCGGTTCTTCTTTAGTAAACTAATACACTCCCAGTTCTTTTTTTCTGTTTAACTGTTAATTTGACACTAAAAAAACTGCCTTCAACATCAGTGTGGAATAAAGGAATGGCAGCCTCAGATAAATGTGCTCACAGTTCCTATCTCGATTTGCATTGCTCAGTTTGCTTTCTTTCTTTCTGGTTTTTTTGGTTAAGTCACAAATGTCCATTGTTTTTAAATCATATCTGTCCTCATCGACCAGTGGTACCCCACCTTGGATTGTCACCTTGTTTGTAGCTCTTCCTCTTCAAAGGAAGGCACAACGCTGACAAGAATGAATGACCCACATCCCTTCACTTTGCATCCGTGTCCCAGCAAAGTGAGAATCCAAGATCGGCCGTCACCGATGAGGAATAATTCAAAGCAGAAGTTGTGGGATCGCTGTACAGTGCCGCAGAGCACTGGTGGCGACAGAGGGAAGAAATCCTTAGTCGGAGAAGGCAACACCTCATTAAACACATGAAAATATTTTTCCTATCTGGGTTTTTCCAATTCATTAATATTTTAATAGATGAAAGAGAAAAAAAACCCCAGGGGAAAAATCCAGCAGTGATGACAAAGCAACTAGCCACAGACTTCTCCCTTTTTTTTTTTTTTTCTTGATGACACAACAGGATTGCTGTTTTGGAAATATCATGTGAATTGTGGATTAGTAAAGAAACAAAAACTGGTCAGCTTACAGATGAAACCGATGCAGTTAATTCAATGAATAAATCATCAGCCCAATAGAGACGTCCTTGCTATCAGACAGACAGTCCTCAATATACCTAAGGGATCATATATATATTCCTTTGCTTCATATTCATACAATGTATTCCTATATGGTTCAAACATGAGAGGATGTAAAACCAAATCAGGCTTGAAACTACTTATAACTTACATATAAATGTATACTTCAAACAACGTCTCAACCTGACAGAGGAGCTACAAGATAGGCTCCGAAACACAACACGTGTGCATAATGTATAGGCTACGTGCTTATAGATAGAGCCCTATATAACATTTGACACACTCAATCCAAATTCACTGATGCTACTGTGATACACAGACACACTCAATCCAAATTCACTGATGCCACTGCGATACACATTTGGGTGGTGGTGAATACTCTGCCTCTTCAGCACATCCAAAAGTTAAAGGGAACATTTCAGAGCAATGAACAAGCTCCGTATAAATTGGGTGCAGCCCCGCAAGCAACCTGTCTGGCGGGTCGGATGCACAGCCCCAGGTGTATCATTTTCTGTGGACGTGAAGTTCCCCTTATCACTGGCCTGTGCGATATTCTCCGAGCCCCCCACTCCCCCTTTCCTCCCCTGCTTGAGCTCACATCTCCTGCAACCGCAGACACACCGAGCACGCTGTGCGTAATGGATTTAGCTTGGTCTAAAATCGGTCCATTCAAACCAGCACTCCTGTTTCAAACCACCTGAAGTGAGAACCACATCAAACGAAATGCAACCGCACAATTCGTGATTAAAAGACCCCGTGGCTCCCACGCGAATTAAAAACAACAACAAAACCCTGGCCCCTTCTCTGAAGCTTAAATCTATCTGGATGCTTTTGACTCTGTTTCCTGCTTGAGGTTGTCAGGCTAAATGCACACACTTTCTCTTTGTCCGTGTTATCTGTCAGCGCAGCAGCCGGTGTTACATGGATAAATATTTGCCTCTTATTCAAAGCAATGAAACAAGACGACATATGGAATTAGATAAGATAAACACGTCCGTATCCAAGGCTTCTGTTTTAAATAAGGTCACCTCTCGCACAAGAACTAGGAGGAGGAGGTGGGGGGGGAAGAACAGCAACTGCAGCCCCTAACACTGTACCTCGCTTACCTTTCAGAGCCATATTCGCTCTGCAGCAGAGGAGTCAGGCAGACGATTGACACACACAACTGACTGTACAAACATCGGCGCTGGCTAGCTCCTTACCGTATAGAGTGTTTCTCGTTATCTGTCCCCCCATAGTACCGTGCCAGGTGGCCGGCTACCTCGCAGTCCCACTCTCACTGAGCAGTGATGTAGAGCCGCACGCCCGCGAGCATTATCAGCACGCGTGCATGCATGCACACACACACGCGCGCGCCGGCTTAGTGCCTCCCAAGTCAGTGCGTGCACACACACGCACACTCCGCACACCACCGAAGCCTGCTAACCCTTTCAAGCAGCCTCCACCCACTCGCAGATCCTCCCTGCCTCAGCAAAAGCAGTGGGCTCTGTCACATCTATTTACATAAGAAGGAGGAGACTCGGAGGCTTCCTGAAATAGCCGGGGGAGAGCTCACAACATGTTACAGATGCCACATCCCGACCGCCGGACGGCGAGCTAAAGGAACCTGGGGACAGTCCAAACGGGCGCCCGAACCCTTTTGTTTTTGCTGCTGCTGCTGGTTTCAATGCCCCAGCCGCAATCTCAGTTCAGATAAATCTCTGGGAAGAACGCAGCGTGCTACAGTATGATGGAGATGGCTGCTTGCCTTGGTGTAAACCCAGCGGTACCCTGCTTCCAAGCAACCCGCAGAACAAAGCACTGGCCCCTGCCAACTTCGTTGCAAATAAAAACACCGGCTTATTTATAAATCAAGGGGGAGGAAGCAAGGGGGGGGAGGTTTGGCCCTCAGCAACTTTCTCCCTCTCCCCTTGTGCATGTTTTACTCTCTTCCAGCGCATAATCCTACAAGAGAGATGGATCGCAAATGGAAAAAGAAAAAAAGGTTATTAGCAGACATCGCTCTGCCAGAGTCTTTAAAAGGCCTCTGCCAGCTAATGCTTCGTTATTTAAAAAGCAAGGTAGAAGTGCTTCAAATGCAGAAGGGTTGGCAGAGGTTTGGAGCGGTAAAAACAGGACTCCCCTGTAAACCCTTCTGCGACAGCGCCGCACGCTCAGCTCGGACACGACGCGTCCCGCTCTCCAGGCCGTTGCCTCTGCTGCCCGACTATGGCAGGAGTGACGGAAAGCCGGGGGAAATCGAGGCAGGTCGACAGGGGTGCACGGGAGACTCTCGGGAGGCGTCCGGCTACCACCGCCTTCCTCCCTGCCCTTCGCGCTCGAGGCAAGACTCGCTTTCTTTGTTACGCTTGCCAGCTGGAATAGTCTCCCCTCGCTCCCCGCACCTCTCCAAACCAGCAGCGCATGGGTCCAGCCGCAGCTCCCCGGTTACCTGTCCCCGGCTGGCTAGTCTAACGCGTGCTCGGGTATCTCTGCGCTACGCTGCGATCGCAGAAGTCGCGCCTGCCCCTCTCCCGCAACGCCGCGGGTCTCGCCCCCCGGTCCTGCCTCCACCTCCTGCGACCGTGCCTCGCGCTCACGGCCTCCAATCCTCTCACCTGAAAAATAGGAAGGAATATTTTATCTTACCACAGGGCTGTAAGGTTTGCTCCTTGGATTTGGGGAGCTGAGAGGGGCTCAGCACCCGGGGGGGGAACAAATCAGGCCATGTGTTTGTACTAGAGCTGTGCAACGCAGAAGTGCTCTTGCGCTGTCCTAGCTGGCTCCTCAGCACAGCCGGCACTTCCCTGGTCCACTACTCAGTCGCCAGCTGATCTCTAGGATAGCAGAGTCCCCCAGCTGATGCCGGGACTTACTTCTGTCCATCAGAGCTGAGGCTCCAACTTGGACCCTTTCAGTCTGGAGGCAGGAGCTTGACCCCCGGAGCTGAAAGGGAGCTTTGCCCTGGACGAGCCCGCAGCGCCTGCACCGAGCTCCTCCCTGCTGGCAATTGCACTCTGCAGACCTTACGGCAGCTTCTTGGCAGGAGCCGTTTCCTGTCCCCCCTCCTCCCAGATGATGCTGCATTTACGGCCGCGACAAAAGGAGAGCCCCACGGCTGCGCTACCATGCAAGGTGAAGCCAGGGGTGAAGGGGCAGCCCAGAATCGCAGGGGTTAGGGAAGGACGGGACCACCCCGGTTCACCCACCTCCTTGCCTGTCCCCAGTTATTTGCTCCCTTCTGAGCCTGGTCACAAGCAAAGGGGGTTTCACCACCTTCCCACGCACGTGGGGACGCTGAAGTTTGCAGTAGCTCGGGGTGACTTCAGTGGGGCAAGATCTGTCAGGAAGGAAGCCTTGTCCTGAATCTCAGCCTAAAATTGTCCCTCTCGGCATCATCGCGTGCTCCCAGCCGCGCCCTGCCTGCCCGTCCCATCACTGCAAGCAACATGCAAATGAGCAGCTGGAACCAAAAGCTGCAAAAATACCCACTTCGGGTTGCCCTGCTACGAAAGGTTCGTTTTCATTTTCAGCTAAACATTTCCTTTTAAACTAAAATGAAACTTAGTGTTGAGGGTTATTTCTTCTTTTTCTTTTTAACAAAAAATGCAATACAGGCAAATCTAATTTTAAAATGAGGCTCCAAGGGGACAAAAAAAATCAAAGCGTTTTCTTTCAAAAAACATGTGACACTTGACTCTTTTTATTTTTTAACCAATTCACCGGCCTGGTTTTCTGAACAGCTTCAGCTAACTCAGACCGGCACTGGTCAATGAATAAAACATCCATGCAAAAATTTCCTCTTGGCTCTGTTTAGTACCCAGCACCACTTGGAAGCACACGTGCTAAATAACTCACCCGTAGCCGTTATGCACCTAAACAATCCAGATTTAACTCTTAATCTGGATTCATAAATCCATTTCTTTTGCCTTGATCATATTTAGTGCTCTTCCCTGAACTTCCCCAACTTAATTTGTCAGTGCCTTCTTGTAACGCCTGCCCACGAGCAAGAGCACTGCTCCAGGCAGGATCACATCAGGGCTGGATCGAGATGCAGAACGACCGCACCTTGCTTGCCCGGTGCCATGAGAGTTATGCAGGCAACTCAAACAGTATTGACCTTTCTTTTGCAGCCACATCACATTGAAGCCTCTTTCTGAATTGCACCTTATTATCACCCATATGTCTCTTTTAGCCGTTACTATCGTCCAGGGTGTCCCCTTCCATTTATTTATGCTGTGGATTTTTCCCCCCGACACATTAGCTACATGCCTTCAAGCTGTCTTCCTATTATTCCCGTGTTTTAACCTCCGGCCTCCTCGTGTGACTTCATTGCCCTCGCTGACGTTTGCAAGGCTTCTTATTTTAGCATCGCTTACAAGCATCAATAATATTCCCTCTTCTGAATTACTGATGAGGGTATTAGCACAATGCCCAAGAGCGACTGCACTCACTAAATCAATGCTATGCCATAGGGGAATAGCATCCAATAGCGTTTCTAAGCTAAGAGACAGCGTTGCGATCCGAGCAGATTTGAATCCATTATGAATGTTACATCTTGCGAGACAATATCCGACGCTTTGCTAAAATTCACATATATTTCAACAACTGCTTTCTCTTCATTTGTTCGTTCGCAGTTATCTCAAAATTGGAAAAAAGTGATCAGGTGAATCCGGGAAAATCTTACTACCAACGTCCCTGATGTCAATGTTCCCATCCCCCTTGAGACCTGCTCTTCTTTAATTTGGAGGGCGGTATCACGGCAGTGCCTGGGAGCTATGATCCAGGGGAATTTTGTATAATTATGTACATAAATTACCTACAGTGGGACTATACAATCATCCCTGACCCTGGATCCTCCTTCTGTACCTGTTAATCTGTCCATTGCTACTTCTGCAGCTCAATTATCTGTGGCTCAACCTACACCACAGTTCTTCATCTACTCCAGTGTCATCACTGGCCTCTCCCTTTCTAAAAGCCAGAGCAGCTCGGTGTTTCTCAGCCGGTCGCATGTGCAATGTATGCAGCCTATTTTCCCACACGCACCAAAGAAGATGATTGCTGTCCTCAATCTCCACTCCTGTCTCCACCTATCACTGTGATGCATTGCTTTGCAAGACGAGGGCGTTACGTCGACAGATAAGCTCCTCTGCTCGGAGGTCAGGTGTCACGTCAAAGGAGGAAGCGGCAGGTATGTGGCCTCCGTCGTCTCCCAACAAGCAAATCAGGCTCTGGCTGATAGTCAGTCATGGGAAGCTTTGACAGAAGCGCGTGGATGGAAAAAAGATCTCCTAGGACAACCCTGCCTGGCGAAGATGAGGCAGCGCGTGAACTGGGACCACTGCTTCCCATATTGACCGGTCTCATCGCCTTGTTTCTTGGTGCTCCCCCATTTGCCTGCTCTATTCACTTCTTGTCTCACCCTTGATACAGGCTGCTAGCTCTTCAGGGAAAGGGTCTGTCTCTTGGGTGTCCATCGAGATACCTAATACAACAAGACACAAATACCGGGATCCGGGACCGCTCCCCCTCGAGTACGACGGCCATATAAATGATATAATACTCATCCCACACTCCACATTACCATCTGAGTCTCTGCACTATGTTTCCTCGAACATGATTGCATGTCTTACATGTATTAATGCTATCTCCTGGCTGCAAGCGCAGGATCAGACACGAAGCAGACTCGCTTCCTATACTGCAGGAACTCTGGTTTATCCCTGCGACCGGCACGGTCGCGCTGCAATAGCTGGCAGACCACAACGAAGCCTGGATTTTTTCTGAAGGGTCCGTTTTGCCATGGCATACAAGCAAACTGAATTACCCGCAGCGAGCAGAGAAGTGAAAAGGCAAATTTTGAGAGAATGAGCTCAGAACTGACATTTACCTTTAATGACACGAGCCGTTAACGCAAGCCAACACAGAGCCACTGGAAGTCTCCCTCCCTGCTATGGGGAGTCCAAGGGCTCTGGGGTTGAACTGCCCCCAGCATCCAGTGTATCGCCCCTCTTTCGAGAGCCAGGGCAAAAGGAGGGGTTAGTCAGATGAAGTTTACCCCCTGCTCGCCACAGACGGGGTCACTGCATGCTGTCACATTTTTTCGAGGAGGTGCCGTCCATTTCTTTCTTGCAATCTGCCCTGACTTTATGGTCGGAAAAGTCCCCTTGCACTCAATGCATCCCTGGAGACGTTTAAAGGTAGGCCATTATTTGTGAAGCTAAGTGATTGCAAGGAAATTTTTTCTCCTGGCTTATCTGCTTTGACAGACTCCAAGCCTGGTGCCCCGCTCTCCTTTCCAACAGCGATCTCACACTAATATCTGTGTACAAATCTCACGTGCCAGGAAAACAAAACTTCCTCCAGGAAACTACCATATGGCTCTAGGAGGAACATGCTGCTCTTTCCATGACAGTGTCCAAGACAGACTGTCTTTTTAAAGCACGATGTAGTGTGGTCAC